TGGAGGCAGGGAGGCTGCCTCTCTGTATTGTCCCCGAGTCTGCAGTCTGTTTCCTCTATTCCTCTGCCTGCAGCCCTGAAGAGGGTCCCCCTCCTGGAAGCCAGCATCGGGGACCCTCCACACGGTGTCCCACCTGAGCCTCACTACGGCTCTTGGAGCCCATTTTACAGGTGAGAAAACTGAGGCTCAGGGGGGAGAGGCTCAAGTTAGTAAGTGGAGGTGACCTGGGATCCCTGCCCTGCGTCTCTCGCTCCTCCCAGGCCCTGCGGGTGGGTGTAGGGCGGCCACCCCTACAGTTGGTGGTGAGCCGCGTTAGGGCCACCCCCAGGCTGCGCAGTGGGGCCTGCTGTCCAGGGCGCGGCCCCAGGGGCTGGAGGCGGGGCCTGGCCTTCCTGCCCCTCCCTCTGCTTCCTGGAAGCCGCTGAGGGCTCTGCCTTCCAGGAACCGAAAACTACCCCGCGGGGCCACGAGGGTTTCAAAGTTAGGAAACATGATTCCGAGCTGGTGGCTTCTCCTGTGGTCCCCTGCCACCAGAGAGACGGGGCCAAGGTGGGGCCCCGGGTTTACCAGCAACCAGGAGCTCCACTCCAAGTGCGGAGAAGCCGCGTCCCTCCGGAGGCAGGTGGGTGGGGAGATGCGCGGGTGTGTGTGTGTGGGTGTGGGTGTGTGTGGGTGTGTGTGGGTGTGTGGGTGTAGGTGGGTGTGTGGGCGCGCGCGCCACATTTATTAAGCACCCACTGTGAGCCCGGGACTTTTGCATCCATCTTCTCGTTGCATTCTCTCAGCAGCTTGATGAGAAAGGGGCCATTTGTTCTCCTCATTTTACAGACTGGAAATTCGAAGCTTAGAGAGGCCAGGATCTGTCTCAAGATCACACAGCTTACAGGAAACCAAATCGAGACTTGAACCCCTTTTGGTCTGATCCCCTAGTCGTGCTTTCAATCCTACATCCTGTACCATCCCTGGTAAATAGGGGACTGAACTTTCTAGTGAGGTGACTTCAAGTCCTTCATCTTACTGTGCCCTCTCCCCAC